AAGAGAGATTGCTACTTGCCATGTTTGAAAATGGGTTTAAAAATTGATATTGGTTAAAAATGATTTGAAAATGATTCTTTGGAAGAACTCACAGATCCCGTAAGACTAATAAATCTTTCGATGCTACTGTTGGTTTTTTAAAAGTAGGGGCAACAAAAATATTAAAAATGATGATTGAAAATGTCTCTCGATAATTTTATTAAGCATAACAACATTTTAAATAGCCAATTAGGAACAAAAAATCCACATAATTTAAAATTCAAAAAACGTAAAATATCTCAACTTAAACAATCTAATAGAAATTTGAAATTGAAATTCATCCTAAAATTAAGCAACTTATTATGTTTAAAAAAAAGCAACAAAATTTCAACAATATATTTTATATGGTATTTTTTTTCTACTTCTATGTTTCAGTAACTTGTTTACTTATTTTATCTTTCTAGTGAAGTTATCCAATCAAATAACGTTCAACGACCATTGTTCTACAAATAAAACTTCAAATCGTCAATCTGTTTGACGTTCTTCCCTTTACGTTTATAAGGAAGTTTGTGGGGGCGATTTTTGTTTTTGTCTTGGACCATGCCATAAGTTAGTGGTCTCATTCTTTAACAGCGTGAGATATATATCATATAAAGAAGAGCTATTCCACTTCGAATCCACCGCATATACCTTTGCTAAAACCAATAGAGAAACAAAATCGATAAATAAACTTAGACAAAATAGTATGAACATATTGTACACAATTAACGAAAGATCTCCTTTTGGGCATCATCCCCATATAAAGTGAGTTTATGCAGGGAATTCTCTTTTTTCTTTTTATGTGTTTTTGCTGCTACCCTCTGAGAGTGACTTGTGGGATCTCAATAATAAGCAGAATGTCTCTGGAGAGGTCCCAATTACGTAGAAGAATGTTAGCATTTCAAATGACTTGACATGACAAAGGGCCCTTGTCACGAGTATGAGAATGTCTCCAAATTCCAACCGGCCTTGTTCCTCTTTGCTTGAGCCATCTTTAAAAATTGATTAGAGCATATGTAAGAAGGAAAAATGACACTCTATAGTGGTTCTTAAAATAATAACCCAAAAATGTATATATTTTTTTGTATACATATACATTTATGTATGTTATCTACTCTTTCTGTTCATTTTTACTTGTCCACTGTAGATTTTGTACACCCCTTAAGAAATAATAAATAAAGTGCATAACTTACCATGATACCCATATTAATTGATGCAAATATTTGATGGATTTGAGAAAATGATTTGAAATGAGTATTTAATACTGTGGGTATAATAGAAAAAAAGAAATCGTGTTCTCTTGATATACTAAAAGTGCGAATAAACGTGAAAATCTATTTTTAGAATACTGAACAAGTAAAAGTGAACGGAGGGAGAACAAAAAATATACAAATTTTATACACTTTATAAATAGCATCAACGTAGGATTAAAAGTGATCTTTGTCCTACAAGAAAGCCACTCTTTTAAGGGGCATTTGCATCTATACCCGCTTTTTGTGCCACATTTTAACATGTGCCCGCTTTGCAAAAAAAATTGCAAGCGTACCCACTTTTTCACATAACTTCAGCATGCGGGGCTGAAGTAGCAAAGACAATCACACAAAACTTCAGCATTTTAGTAGCCAGGCCTGAAGTTCAGCTCTAGAGCTGAAGTTTTTGTTTTGTAACTCGCGAACTTCAGCTCTAGAGCTGAAGTTTTATTTTATAAGTTTTTGTTTTGTAGCCGGAAACTTCAGCTCTAGAGCTGAAGTTTGCCAGTTATAAAATAAAAACTTCAACTCTAGAGCTGAAGTTTTATTTTATAAGTTTTTGTTTAGTAATCGGGAAACTTCAGCTCTAGAGCTGAAGTTTTCCAGTTATAAAATAAAAACTTCAGCTCTAGTTTTTGTTTAGTAACCGAAAACTTCAGCTCTAGAGCTAAAGTTCGCCAGTTATAAAATAAAAACTTCAGCTCTAGAGCTGAAGTTTTATTTTATAAGTTTTTGTTTAGTAATCGGGAAACTTCAGCTCTAGAGCTGAAGTTNTTAAGTAATCGGAAACTTCAGCTCTAGAGCTGAAGTTTCCAGTAATAAATAAAACTTCAGCTCTAGAGCTGAAGTTTTTGTTTAGTAACCGGGAGCTGAAGTTTGCCAGTTATAAAATAAAAACTTCAGCTCTAGAGCTGAAGTTTTTCTTTTGTAACCGGAAAACTTCAGCTCTAAAGCTGAAGTTTTTGTCTTTGTAACCGGAAAACTTCAGCTATAGAGCTGAAGTTATTTAGTTCATTGTATGTTTACTACCCCAAATAACACTCTTTTCACATAAACTTCAGCTATAGTTCTATTTAATTACTACTCCCTCCGGTCCAAAATAAGTGATTTTTTGGATGTTTTCACACAAATTAAGAAATCCACCTTTTAGCATTAATTAGCAATAGAATTGACCATATTAACCTTTACTATTTCACATAAACACTCCTAACACATATTCCAACACCATTTACTTCAAGGACAATGTAGGAAAAAAATAATTAATTCATTCTTGAAATCTGAAAAAATCACTTATTTTGGACCACAAGAAAAAGGCCAAAAATCACTTATTTTGGACCGGAGGGAGTACTAATTATTTTCCCACAAACTACAGAACCTTCAATTTACTACATTATCAACAACTGTAGTATTCTACGCAAGGCAAAGAAGAAAGAAGAAGATGCATTCTGTGAAGGAGAAAGTAAGCAACGCAGTGGAGAAAGCAGCAGCAAGGACAAAGGAAGAGGTAAGCAACGCAGCGGAGAAAGGAAGCTGAAATTTTTTAAAAAGTGGATACAAGCTAAAAGTTTTTAAAAAAATGGGTATAGGTTAAATGGGGGCGACGCCCCGTGCAATTTCTACCTCTTTTAACTCATAATAAGGCTGATTGTCAAGTATCTTTAACACAATGAAAACCTCTAATGTAGTGATAAAGAGGTTTCAATAAAATATTTTAGATTATAAGTTCGACTTCTAGTTGTGACATTTCATTTTGCATAAATTGATTTCTTTTGTCTTCAGTCCTGCCTCCGCCCTGACCCCGATCATAATGGACGAAGTTAGGGGGTCTTCCTTTTTCGGAAAGTTATATTGTGTATATAAGGCCAAATTTTTAACCTTTTCGCGTGTATATTTTTTTATTTTATGTATTCTTTTGGTGAAAATACTACCTCCGCTAATCCCAGCCCCTCTCCCAAAAAGAAAGAAGAAAATATTAAAGCAAAGAAAGCCTGTCAACTTCGACGTATGCATGGAATTGCCTTTCTTTTTTCTTGTTTTTTTCTTCGCCATTACCTTGGTTCATTGCAGCTAGCTTGGTAAATTAAAGGCATTGCGAGGGAAAGTAAAAGAGCACAAAAAAACAGAAACTTTGCTAGATAAATGTAGTAAATGGTCCAAAACTGAAAGGATATTTATCTTCTTTCAAGGGAAGCTAATGTGCCTTATTTCAGTTGTATCATAGACTCCAGTCAAAATAACTTTATCTCTCCCCTCTTCTTTCATGGCCTAAAAAGACATACAAAGGTTGTTTGAATGTAATAAAGAGAATACTCCTTGAAGCTAAAAAAGGAGTGTTTGAATGAAAGCAAGGAACTCTTTTTAATTAAGAACACATTAAAACAAATATCACCCATACACAGATGTACTAGTAAAAGATTTATATATCAATCACAAACTGTTAAAAGTTGTTCTAATATATAGATAAACCTACTGTTATTAAAAGTCATCCAATTAGTTTAATTTCTTGGTAGTTCTTTTTATAGGTTGGGCCACTCCGAGATCTGTGAGGCTAAAGATAGCTAGCTAGGGACCTTATCTTTTAACTATTAGTCTTGGTTTTTCCATATTTGATGCCTGGATACTGCACATTAAACCTACTTTCAGGTTTGGACTCACCTATGTTATATAAACTAAGAGATTGTCGAGGAGAAAGAAGTAACTTGATTATGAGAAGTGGTGTAGGTTATTTATGTATGATAAGTCAATTAGGGAGTTCATGAGATAGTTTGTTTGTTTGTTATAGTAGTTGTTAGTTACACGTGTATATATATGTGTAAATGTAAAAGATACAGTGTGAGCGGAATAGAATTTTTCCCACAGTTACATTCATTTCTCTCGCAGATATTTCTTCTTATTCTCTTCTTCCTCTCCTTCTCTTCTCCCTTTAGCTAGGGTTTCCGCAGGTGATCAGTCACTAAACTTCAGCATGGTATCAGAGAGCTCAGAGCTCAGAATTGAAGCTCAAATATCGATCCTCAATCTCTTCTCATCTCTAATTTCCTCTAAATCAAATTTCTGGTTCAGATCTAATACCTCCATTTTCTATTTTTTCAACTCAAAATTGATCAACAATAGCGGTTGATGACTTGCAGAATTAAATTCAAAATACTACTGTTGAAAATACTTCACACGCATCATCAGAGGATGAATTTGAGGAAGGAGTGACCGTAGCAGTCACTCATCCTCTGTACTTAGCTCCCAGCGACACAAGTGGAGTCTCTTTGATCTTATTTCAGCTAACCGACACTAACAATTACTCTCTCTGGCATAGATCTATGAGAATTGCATTACTTGATCGAAACAAACTTGGGATTGTTGATGGCAGGTGGCCTAAGGAGCGGTTTCGTGAGAAGTACTTGTATCAATAGGAGAGGTGCAATGCAATTGTGTCGTCACAGTTGATGAATTTAGTGGCTCCGGCATTAATCAGTGGCATTGCATACACTACTAGTGCACATGTAGTGTGGGTGGATCTGCAGGAACGTTTTGACAAGCTGAATGATACACGTTGCTATAATTTGCACAAGGAAATTGCCACTCTAAATCAAGGTACTGCTTCTATTTTTGTTTACTACTCGAAACTCAAAGATTTTTGGGATGAGACTGAGTCTGTTGTACCTACTCCTGGCTGTGACTGTGTTAAGAAAAAGGAATTTATTGTTCATTTATGAAAGCAAAATGTGTATCATTTTAATGGGCCTAAATGACTCTTATTCTCATGCTCGCAGTCAAATTCTTATGATGAAACCATTACCAACAGTAAATCAAGCTTATGCTATGCTCATGAGTGATGAAAGTAAGAGATCTATTGCAGCCACTGCTGGAGTATTAGGATCTGCTCCTAATGTAAACACAAATTCCTATGACTCTACTGCTTTGTACAGTGCTAAGCCTAATTACAATCCAAAGTTTAGAAAAAATTACAAAGTCCAATGTGACTTTTGTAAAATGAAAGGCCACAGTAAAGAAAACTGCTACAAAATCATAGGGTATCCACAAGACTATAAGACTAAAACGAAAGGGAGAGCTGGAGCATACAATGCTATGATAGAACCTAGTCATGTTGTGCCTTTGCACACAAATCATGTCTCTCAGAACAGGGCAATGACATCTATGCCAATGCAACCTATGCCTATGTATCAAGGCCATCAGTATGGGAGCCAAGTTCCTGAAGGATTACAGGGTCAAGGGATTTCAAGCACTCAGAATCAGGAAGGTACTTCCTCTTCACAATCTCAGGGATCAGCAAATACTGCTCCACAAGGTGGTGGTTTTCCCTTTACCAAGGAACAATATGATCAGATAATGCATATTCTGAACAGTAGCCAATCTCCTCCTACTCAAGCAAATGCAGCAGGTATTGACACTGCCCTGTTAGGTTACACTAACTCACAAGAACAAGAATGGATCATTGATACATGTGCAACAAATCATATGGTGTCAGATGTAAACTTACCGGGCCAACACCTCCCTAATCACACCTTCTAAGTCTAGAAGAGTTCAACTACCTAATGGAGATGTTACTCAAGTTACTCAGATTGGAGATAGTCATATTTCATATAGAAGCACTATTAAAGAAGTGCGTTATGTCCCTCAATTCAAATTCAACTTATTGTCATTCTCCAAGGTGACAACAGATCTAAGATGCTCTGCTTCTTTTTATCCTGATTTTTGTATATTTCAGGATATCTTCAGTGGCAAGGTGAGGGAGATTGGTAGGGAAAGAGATGTCCTATACTTTCTGCAGAATCATGGGGCCAAGAAGCTCACTGCAGTTGCTCTAGTTGCAGTTGGAATAAAGTAAAAAACTACTGATATTACTTTGTGGCATAAAAGGCTAGGTCATATCTCTAGTATGGTACTCAGAAGACTGTATCCTGCTAAACTAGCTAGTACTATTGATACTATCAATAAATGCATTGTATGTCCATGTGCTAAACAAACTAGGCTGCCATTTTCTACTAGTTGTGTTAAGAGCAGTGATGCATTTGATCTAATTCATATGGATGTTTGGGGTCCTTACAAGTATGCAACTTTTGATGGAAAAGTACTTCTTGACTGTTGTTGATGACTTTACCACAATGACTTGGTTGTTTCTTCTAAAGTTAAATTCTGATGTGTGTGTTGTACTTGCTCAGTTTATTGTGTTTGTTCAAACTTAGTTTAACAAAACCTTGAAGGTAGTCAGATCTGATAATGAATCTGAATTTGTTAACTCTGTATGCACCACCTTATTTCAGAAATATGGCATTATCCATCAGAAGACCTGTGTTTATACCCCTCAGCAGAATGGAGTTGCTGAGAGGAAACACAGACATATCCTGGAGGTGACTAGAGCCTTAAGATTTCAGGCCAATATTCCTATTAAGTACTGGGGTCATTGTGTTCTTGCAGCAGTATATATTATTAACAGGATGTCATCTTCTGTACTCAATGGTTTATCTCCCTTTGAGTTGTTGTATGGCAGAGCACCCATTGTGGACCATTTGAGAGCGCTTGGCTGTCTGTGTTATGCCAAACAGATTCAGGAGACAGAAAAACTTCTTCGTAGGGCTAAACCTACAGTCCTTATGTTGTTTTCTGATACTCAAAATGGCTACATTTTGTTAGATTTGGATACTTAGTGCTTCCTTATTAACAGAGATGTTTCCTTCAGGGAAGATGTTTTCCCTTTCAAGGACTCTCCTGTAGCTATACCACCTGTGTTCTTGCCCCCTGAGCCTTCTATTGTTGATACTGAGTTCACTTCACCTCCTTCTTCTAGTGATTCTGGCAATACAGCTAAAAGATTAGAACATGACTTATCTCTACAACACCACTCATCATCAAAAGCAGTTCCAGCAACCTTGCCTTCTTAGGACCTCAGCTTTCCTGGTCTAAGGAGATCATTAAGAACCAGACAAGCTCCTATTCGGATGAAAGACTTTGTGTCTTTGCCAGGACACAAGTCTGTGCCTTACTCTATCTTAAACTATATGTCATATGATGGACTCTCTCCTAAATATCAGGCCTATCTAGCTGCCTTTTTCACTATAGTGGAACCTACCTCCTTTGAGGAGGCTACTAAAGATCCTAGGTGGGTGGATGCTATGCAGGCTGAGATTGCTACGTTGGAATCTAACCACACTTGGGATGTGGTCTCCTTGCCTGATGGAAAAATTCCTATTGGGTGCAAATAGATATACAAGGTCAAGTACAAGGCCTCAGGTGAGGTAGAAAGGTTCAAGGTCAGGCTTGTTCCGAAGGGGTATAGTCAGCAAGAGGGCATTGATTATCAGGAAATATTTAGTCCAGCGGTTACTATTGTTACAGTTAGATTAATTCTTGCAGTAGTTTCTTCTGAGCATTGGCATATTCATTAGATGGATGTGTACAATGCCTTTTTACAGGGTGACTTGCATGATGAGATATATTTGACTCTGCCTCAAGGCTTTAAGAGTCAGGGGAGAGTAGACCAACATGTAGACTCTTGAAATCCTTGTATGGCCTCAAACACGCACCAAGACAGTGGAATGCTAGGTTGTCTGAAGCACTGGTGCACTTAGGCTTCATGTAGAGCCAACATGATCACTCTCTATTTGTAAAAGGAACAGGCAAACACACTGTCATCATCTTGGTCTATATGGATGATATGCTTCTCACTGCACCTGATCTGACACTAATAAATGAAGTCAAAGCTCAACTACAACTGACTTTTATAATGAAGGACTTAGGAGAGTTGAAATATTTTCTTGGCATAGAATTTTCCAGGTCACGACAAGGTATTCTGATGCATCAAAGAAAATACACACTAGAGCTCATCTCTAATCTTGGACTGGGAGCTGCAAAGCCTGCAGTTACACCTATTGAAGCTAATGTCAAGCTCACTACTAAGGAATATGATGAACACATTGGTGTTCCTGAAGGCACAACAGATGAAACCTTAACAAAACCCAGGTTACTAGGAAAGCTACTCTGCTTGACAGTAACACAACCAGATATAGCATATAGTGTTCAGACATTGAATCAGTTTATGCAGAAGCCAAAGAGGTCTTATATGGAAGCTGCACAAAGAGTGGTTAGGTATGTGAAAGGGCAACCTGGACAAGGCATACTGTTGTCTCGTAGAAAGATGAACACTATTACAGCATACTGTGATGCTGACTAGGCTGCATGTCCTCTCACAAGGAAATCATTAACCGGATTCTTTGTCAAGTATGGTGAATCATTAGTGTCCTAGAAGTCAAAGAAGCAAAGCACTATCTCTAGGAGTTCAGTAGAATCAGAATATAGGAGCATTGCATCAACAGTAGCAGAGTTGATTTGGATACTTGGCTTATTCAAGGATATTGTAGTAGTTGTTGAACTCCCTGTGAACATACTCACAGACAGCAAAGCAGCAATTCAAATAGCTGCCAATCCAGTATTTTATGAATGCACTAAACACATCGAAATTGATTGTCATTTTATAAGAGAGAAGATACAGAATGGGCTAATGAGACTGAATATGTAACAACCAAGGAACAGCTAGCAGATATCCTAACCAAGGGCTTAACCAGCATTCAACATGAGTATTTGTTGTCCAAGCTAGGAGTACTTGATATCTTCATACCACCTAGCTTGAGGGGGGGTGTTGAGGAGAAAGGAGTAACCTGATTATGAGAAGTGGTGTAGGTTATTTATGTATGATAAGTCAATTAGGGAGTTAATGAGATAGTTAGTTTGTTATAGTAGTTGTTAGTTACACGTGTATATATATGTATAAATGTAAAGATACAGTGTGAGTGGAATAGAATTTTTCCCACTGTTACATTCATTTCTCTCTCAGACATTTCTTCTTATTTTCTTCTTCTTCCTCTCCTTCTCTTCTCCCTTTATCTAGGATTTCCGCAGGTGATCAGTCACCAAACTTCAGCATCTGAATTACTCTTCGATTTATAGTCAATTAGAAATGTAGTATTAGTTACATAGTCCTTTTTAACATGAATCATAGTATAATAGGATATGGTAAATAAAACACATGAGATCCTTGTAGAGTCATAATTTGCTATTTAGATTGTGATTGGTCATAAAAGATTTATTTACTCCGTTGGACTCGAAACCCGCGTGTCGTTGCATGAACTGATTCAATTTTTAGACTGCAACATCTTGGGCCAGGGCAATGTAACATGAGGGCCCAATATCGGGTGAAACAAGAATTGGATAGGTCTAACTCTGATACTATGCTGAAAGGAGAAATTAAGCTAGGTTGAAGAAGAGAGCTTGAGAAGAAAGACGGTTATGGAAAGAGAAATATCCGAGCAAACTATATCCAACTTAACTTCAATACTACTGCACATGTATGTTTATACTATTTCTTAACTACCTAATTTAAATAGTTCCTGGCTCACTCCACTTCTAGAAAACTATCTAATTCACAAACAAAGTACTATACTATATTTACAATGTACATCTAATCCATCAGCTAATATTTTAGTCATGACCTAACTTTCCCTCCGTTTAGGTATCGTGATGGCACCTAGTCTTAGGGACTAGGTAAGTCTAACTCATACGAAAATACCACAATTATAAATGAAATTTAACCGTCTTGAAGCAGAAATCTGTACAAAATTAAAAATTCCCAAAACCCGGTACTACAAGTCATAAGCTCTATAGAGTTTCCCTACAACTTCTAAACACAACCGAATGCAAAATAAGTACACCAGGCTGAATATAAAATAGGATGGTGACTCCAAAGCCTGCGAACGCAGCAGCAGGGCTACCTCTAGTCTCCTCGGCAAGAATCCGCACAGCTACTAACGATCAATACCTGGATCTGTATAAAATGTGCAGAAGTATAATATGAGCACACCATAGCGGTGCCCAGTAAGTATCAAGACTAACCTCGGTGGAGTAGTGACGAGGAACAGTCAAGACACCCACTGGCCTAATAAGCAGAACAAGTATAAGTATAGAAACAACCGAACATGATATCTATATAAAGACTAAGCGATATTGCTAACAATACAGTACTTACAATAAGGAAAGAAAATAGCAAGTAACAACGGAACACCAGAATAAAGCACATAAAAGTGAACAGAAATACAACCCAAATCCGAAATCACAAATATAGTAAGGACAAATCATAACTCAACAACTACGACAATTTTCACATTAGGTCATAGGCAACAAACTTCAATCAATTAGTCAAATCCTTCAGTTGATAAAAATATTTCGAAATATACTTCCTTCAAGTAAATATTTTTCCAAAATAGTTTTCTAAAAATGAGTACCTTTCGAATATAACCCTTTCAAATAAATATTCTTCGAATATAAGTCACCCTGTGACGCCTCATCTCATAATCATACAATACGGGTCTCAATACATGAATCCTAACACTTGGCATCCTGTGCCCTCATCACACCTCATAATTATACTGACAACTCACGTGCCCAAAAAAGTCATTCTCACATGGAAGGCAAATAAACAAGGGTGTGCGTCTATAATCAGCAATATCAAGGAGCCTCCTATCCGATAAGGGTGCTTAGCCACGTGTATGCTTGTGCAAGTGTCCTAACATAGTTCATACCAGCTAGTAAGCATAAGGACAAGAACAGACAATACATATAATGTTTACAGAGGGATAAGATCAATGAAAACAACAACTCAGAACATAGTGATAATAACAGGGGATCTCCAAAGATACCATCCCGTAGTCCCAAACGTAAATGTGCAGGGGGATCTCCCGGAATACCGTTCCATAGTCCCAAAGTAAATATGCAGAACATGGGATCTCCCGGGATACCGTCCCGTAGTCCCAAACGTAAATGTGCAGGGGGATCTCCCAAAATACCGTTCCGTTGTCCCAATGTAAATATGCAGAACAGGGGATCTCCCGGGATACCGTCTCGTAGTCCCAAAGTAAATATGCAGCGCAACCAAAGAGATAACAATTACAGCAGGGCAGAAAACTCGTACATCACCACAACACGTACAACAACAACAATGACAATAATACAAGGTACGACAAGTAAATCAACTCAAGAACTGTAAATCACGAAGAAACGGTAGAGCCAACTCACAATGAATAACCACAGAAAAGAATGCTGGCATAAAGGGAACAGTTCAACAAAGGGGAAAACTAACATGTAGCAATGATCCCACAATATACAAGTCAATAACAAGAAAATCAACACGAGTCAAGTAGTCCCAAATAAAGGCAAGTCAACAAAGATATAGATTATCTAACTCCTTTTATGGTTGAACAATTACGAGGATATTCGACAATTCGATTAAGGAAAGATGATCTTAATTTCACCTAAGACTAAACAATTTCAGGAGGGATAATGATAAATTCTCAATAAGACAAGCAGCCATGAAAAGATAGCATGACAATAGGAGAGGCGAAATTCTTTAGTTAAATCAAATAGGAGTCAATTAGGCAATTAGAGTGAATCATGAAGCAATTAATTCCAATTAAGCATGTAGAGGTGAAACTAGTAAATAGGAAACTTAGGCACATCAAGAATAACTTCATACATAGTGAATATAAGGAACTAAGAACCCTAAAGGTCAATTTCCCACAAATAAGTCCGAGTACGCACTCGTCACCTCACGTACACGAACTACAGTCAACATATAAGACTCAAAAGTCGATCCCCGGGCCCGCACCTCGAAATCCGACAAATTTTACAAAATCCGAATACCCATTCCCATATGAGTACAACCATAAAAAAATTATCAAATTCCGGTACTATTTCGTCCCTCAAATCATGAATTTTAATTTTGAAAATTTTCTTCAAAAACCAACATTTTCCTCAACTCAAACCACAAATTAAATGATGAAAATGAAGATAAAATCATGGAATATGTTAGATTCTAGGTGAAGAACACTTACCC